GGGGGGGGGGGGGGGGGGGGAAACATACGCGCGCTCATAAGTATGAAACATCGGATTCTTAAGCTCCGCCCTCAACTTGGCCACATAAACAATAACCTCTTGCTGAGACCAAGGTTGCGGCGCGCCGAATTTACAAAGTAACCACATAGCCCAGCCCTCCATACCAGACATCCAATGCTGGTAGTTGACCGTTCCGGCCTCTTTAAATTTCTGATCACGGGCCCAGGGGCCAATGGGCCACTTGTAATCTTTTTGACAGACATCCACGAACCCAGCCTTGCGGAAGGCGTCTTGCATAATATCGATTGTTTCTAGCGGGCGGCCGGCACGTTTCCCGCAGGCGGATAGGGCTGGGCCCCAGGTGCGGAGGATGTTGTCTGCTGGGAGACTGCCGTCATCGCATTCGATGTAGGGGCTTGCTTCTAGTTGTTCGATCCAGCCTCCGGGGCGGATGTTGCTGGTTGGGGTTTGGTTAGATAGGGAAAGGGGAAGGGGAAGGGGATGGTGGTGGTGGTGGCTTACTCGTAGCATTGCTTGTAGACGTGACTCCATTCTGCTTCGTCGAATGATCCGATCATGAGGCGCATGTGGATTAGGTCTTGGGGTTTATTCCAGGTCCATTCTTGGGCGATGTTGTCGACTTCCAAGATGCAGTTTGGGGGCATCCATGTTACTGGTGGTGGGAAGAGGTCGACTCCACGGACGGTGGCTGGTTTTTTGGTTAATATATTGATATTTTGTATACTATGGGTGAATTAGATTGGGATTCTGGACTTACCTGTTGGGAACATGTCGGCTACATCGCTAGAAGAAGGTGAGTGGTGGTTCTTTGTGAACATGATAGGTAGTTTCTTTCCACGTACATGGCCCAGTTACCCAGACCTGTTCCAAGGTCAAGGATATGTTTGGGATCTTCAACAGGCGCCCGGAAAAGAGGGTTCTCATAGTCTGAGTCCATGACGAGAGCTACCAAGTGGCTGCAATAGTTAGTTATCTTCTTTTTTCTTTTCTTGTTTTTCTTTTAAAAAAAGACCGTATATAAGAGGATTCCGCATACCCAGCTTCGTATGTCTCGAATTGCTTCTCATCCGATGGATTTCTGATAGGAAGTAAGCACGTCTGCAGACAATACCCTGATTCGGAAATCCATGCGTACAAATATTCTTTTTGGCTCAATGTTTGATAGCGTCGGCCATTCTCCTCTAGCCCCCTATAAAGCGAGGAGCCGATCGAAGTAGTTTCCCTGAGCTTGTGTCAGATGTTTTCTTCCCATAAAGGACAAAGAGATAATACTTACGATTGCCAGTCATCGCCGTAAACGGTCGTGATATGGGTGGTGGGATCCTAATATTTGATATTTGTTAGAAAAATAAGCCATAAAACAAAGGACAAGAAGAATTGAGCAAACATACCACGGCGAGATCATCCTCAGGCTCAGTATGTATTTTGTCCATTGTGAAAACTGTTCTCACAGAAAAAAGCAAAGTGGGAGATCAAAGTCGAAAGTGAAGAATCCGAGACACGTTTGACGGGGTTTTGGATTGGATGAAAAGGCGTCGGACCGCATGACACCCCGCTCTTGTCATGTCAAAGGCCATATCGGGGAACTACATCGTCGAAACCTTCACCATCATAGGCCCAAGACGTGTGATTTGATATGGGGAATTGTGGGGTGGAAACTTCTACCGGTCGGTATGAGTCCTCGGATTGGACGTTGTTTGGGTAGTTGCATGTGAATTGGCAAAAGTACCATTCTCTTCCAATAGGATGTTCTGTACAAAGTGTATTCTTCGCAGCAACTCTGCATAAATCCCCCCCTGTCTGGCTAAATCTCACCTCTACGAAATAGGGGTATATCTACGGGGTACACATATCAAAGTTAATTGACTGGGACGATTTCAGATGATCAAAAAAATCGCATTATCGCTTGGTACTCCGTAGATTTGAGCTTGTCAATCTGCTTTATAATCTTGTCGACCACAGATGGTCTGACCTTCCGGTGGGGCATTAATTTGTGATTATTTTTAATTTCCGACACGAGGAATAGAAAGCAGCTTGTAACATTTGGGTTAGTCCCGATAGCAAATGTACAAAGTACGATGTACGTACTTAGGTACATTCCCTAAGTACTCGGCGTACTCGGCGTATATGCGGGGAGATAGGCTATCAGATAGCCTATGCGGGAACCCGATTTTCCGATGACGCCAACACTCGAACTATATAACCCAAGAACGAGACAAAAATTAACCAACTCCTCATTGCAATTAACAACATATCTACAAATTACAAACATGTCAACACCCCTGCCTTCCAAGATGCACAGCATCATCCAACAAACCGCCTCCTCCAAAGTCCTCATCTTAACAAGCACACCCATCCCAACCCCAAATCACACACAGGGAGAGCACTTAATCCAAATAAAAGCCTGCAGTCCCTGCGCCGGCGAACTCCTCTGGCCAAAGAACTTTCCTCCATCAAAGGCGCGCACTCTAATCCCATGCCCGGACATGGCAGGAATCGTCATCTCAGCACCGGAAGACTCACCCTTCCAACAAGGCGCTGAAGTATACGCACGCACAAACTATAGCCGGCCAGCAAATGCGCGCGAGTATTCCATCGCTGTGACAGACGAGCTGGCGCACAAGCCCAAGGGTCTAAGCTGGGTCCAGGCTGCTGCGGTTCCTGTTTCCGCACAGACGGCTTGGCAGGTTCTTTTTGTTCATGCTCTTCCTAGCGGGAATGGAGAGGAAATTGATATGGACGCTGCCAAGGCTGTTTGGGCTGGAAAGAGAATTCTTGTTACTGCTGCTTCTGGTGGTGTGGGTATTTGGCTTGTGCAGTTGGCGACTTTACTTGGTGCGGAGGTCGTGGGGACGTGTGGTTCACGGAACGTGGAGCTTGTGGAGTCACTTGGTGCGAAGGAAGTGCTTAATTACCGGGATGTGGATTTGAAGGAATGGGCTGCGCAGTCGCCTTCTAATAAAGTCGATGTTGTTGTTGACTGCATTGGAGGGAAGGCTCTTGCGGATGCGTGGTGGACTGTCAAGGATGGTGGTACGGTGCTGAGTATCTGTCACCCACCTATGCAGGTCCGCCCGGATGGCTTTGAGGGTGAAGGTGTTCATGATTTGTTCTTTATCATGCAGCCTGTGAGGAGACAGTTAGAGGAGATTTCGAAATTGATCAAGAAGGGGATGTGTCGGGGATTGGTGGATAGTGTCTGGCCTCTTGAGCAGTACGAAGAGGCATTCAAGAGACTGGATGGAGGCCATGCAAAGGGCAAGATTGTCTTCGATCTTTCGCTGAATCACTAAGAGCTGTGATGTTTCTCCAGCAATACACGAAACATGATATGTCATTTCTGGAGGCTTGGTCCTGAGTAGATACATCCAATGTTGTTTAACTGAAGCATATCGTAATTTCCTTGCTGTGATCCATTGCTTCACCAGTATTTGGATTCTCAACAGCTCCTGGGGTCCCTCTTGTTGTCTCGCCAACATCGCATCACGACTCGACCACGTGCATCGTTGATGATGGGACTGTGCAAAGGAAGCTCTATAAAGTACTTGATCCAACATTGGAAGCAGCACTTTGCTTTCATGGTCGGTAGTGGAATAACTTCAAGCTTTGTTCATCACAATATCTAGCTGCAAGAGGATAGACTGAAGTTGCTCGCTCTCCTGCAGCATTGTGTATAAGATATCCTTTGCATATATGAAGGTCTCATGTTGGGAGGCCAACCAAGGGCGAAGCAACAAAAGAGTCGGATGTTGCGCATGTGATATTCTTTCTACTCCGTATTAGACTTTAGTATGAAACTCTTGATAGATCAAGAAACACTTAGTCAGTTTCATAAGATTTAGTTTGATTTTCAAAGCACTGAGTGGACTACCAAAGACTTGGGTGCATCCTGGAATGAAATTGGAAAACCGCCTAAGCGGCACTGCTAAGTTACAAGTTTATTCTACCATCTCCACGTTCTTAATCAAAGTAAAGCGCCCATCAATTACGTGTCTCACCAGTCAACCCCTCCTTGGCAGGTCCCATCAACGTGAAACTCGGCGCATCCCTGTTCGGCGCGTGGAGGCTTGGCAACCCTAGCCTCAGGAACGCCAGACTCGTTTCGGAAAAGAAGATCGACCAGCCTAGTTCAATATACACCGGACGCCATATTATCCCGATATTATGTGTGTTAGACTTACCGCCGGTCTAAGTCCCCTCCCGGTGGGGGAAGTGCTGTCCCTTGGGTATATCCGATGTGTTTCATCGTCATACGTGCATTCGGCCCTACTAACTACTCGAGATGTCTCTCATAAGTCTCGAGCTACTGTTTACAGTTGATTAATGTCGCAGACAGCTCACTAAAGCCCATTTTGAATATGGCTACTATATAAGCAGCGGCATACCAGCGCGACACAAGACCAGTTGAGCATGCTGGTCAGTCTTTATTGAATTTTCTTTCACTTTCACATTCATTTCCTCCGGTTTGATACCGTGCAGACTTTCGTTCACCAATTATACATTCATTCATCGGTCCGGTTTACCGATCAATTCCATTCACTTCCCCCGACCCGGCATTCCAACTCGTCAAACATGAAGAACTTCACCCCCGCTCTGGCTTTCGCCAGCATTATTTCTTTGGTCAACGCCCATGGCTTCGTCACTAGCCCGGCAGCCCGGCAGCCTGGTACCGCAATGGGAGCCGCCTGTGGCAAGCAAGTCCTGTCCAACCAAGAATCCGACAAGTACGGAAACATTCAAGGCGAGCTGCAAGTTGCCGCCACCCAGAGCGACTACAACGCCGCCGAGTGTGATATCTGGCTTTGCAAAGGTTACAAGTTTGCCGACAACAAGGACAACGTCCAGTCCTACACGGCTGGAGAGAAGGTTGACTTCACGGTCGACATCCGCGCCCCCCACACCGGTGTCGCCAACGTCTCCGTCGTCACCACTTCTTCCAACAAGGTCATTGGCGCCCCTCTGATCTCCTGGGACGTCTATGCGTCCACCGCCACCGGTGTCACGGCCAACGAGACCAGCTTCAGTGTCACCATCCCCGACGATCTCGGCAGCCAGTGTGCCACCGCCGGTGACTGTGTGTTGCAGTGGTACTGGTACGCAGAGTCCATCGACCAGACCTACGAGTCGTGTGTCGATTTCACTATCGGTGGATCTGGCTCAGCTTCGGCTGCGTCGTCGGCCACCTCATCAGCCGCCTCGTCGACCTCCAGCGCTACGGAGATCGCTGTTACTACCACTCCAACTGCCGCTGTTCAAACCCCCACCACAGCTGCTGCCGAGTCTACCACTTCCTCCACCACTGTGGCTCCTGAGCCTTCTACTTCCTCCACCACAGTTGCTGCTCAGCCTACCACTTTCGCCACCACTGCCCGTCCTTCGACTACCTCTGCCGAGGCGCAAGTCCCTACTGCCAGCGCTGCGTCCTCCACTAGCGCATCGGCCCTGCCTTTCCCCACTGACAGTGCTTCACATGTCCTGTCTTGGCTTGAGGCCTTGGTTGGCAACTTGGTGGGTAACTAAATTCGGAAGGCGCAAAGAATGGCCCACTAAAAAGTGGGCGGCATAATGTCGGAAGTACATCATGTTCAGCTTTGGATTTACCTGTACCTCCTACGTTAGCTAGTAGTTAGATATATCGGTAATTAAATGTCAGACTCATCATGCTTGACTCATGATCCTGGATTCCAAAGTAACCCTGTTAATGGCGATATCGGAGAGATGACCGAACATCCGACATCGCCACTTCCTAGACTTACCTCATTGAACATAAGATGTCAATATAAAAAACAAGCATTTCCCATGCAACCAAACATCTTTTAGTATTTCAAATCATCAAAGCAATGCACTGTCGCCTGAACACCACAGCGACCAGACTATTCACCTACATCCCAAAAGTACCAATCTCAATCCCAAGACCAGTCCACAGACATTTCACCACAACAATGTCTCAGCAAGCTAAAGACTGGAGCGCAAGTCAATACCTCAAGTTCGAAAATGAACGCACCCAGCCCGCCCGCGATCTCCTATCGCACGTGCCCCTAACCGCCCCAAAGAGAATAATCGACCTAGGCTGCGGCCCTGCGAACTCAACCACAGTCCTGGCAACACAATACCCATCGGCAACAATCACAGGCCTGGACTCATCCCCAGACATGATCGAGCGGGCAAAGAAAGTCCTCCCAGACCGAGACTTCCACGTCGAAGACCTGTCAACCTACAGCCCCGACCCAGCCAAGCCCGTCGACCTCTTCTTCTCGAACGCGGTGTTCCAGTGGCTAAAGGCCGACGACCGCATTGCGGTCATTAAGCGCCTTCTGCAGCCGCAGGAAAAAGGCGCTGTTTTCGCTCTTCAGGTCCCGGATAATCTGAACGAGCCTTCGCATCTGCTTATGGTGGAGACTGCCGCGGAAGGTCCGTGGGCGGAGAAACTGGCTGGTGTGCAGAGAGATGGGTTCCAGTCCCCGCAGGAACTTTATGATCTTGTTAAGCCGTTTTGTAGTCAGGTTCAGATTTTTGAGACGACTTATTATCATGCGCTGGAGAGCCATGAAGCGGTCATTGAGTGGGTTAAGGGCACCGGGTTGAGGCCGTTTTTGGATCCGTTGGAGGGTGCGGAGGAGGAGGCTTTCTTGAAGGATTATTTGAGACGTTTGCAGGATGCTTATCCGGTTTCTGTTGATGGGAGGGTGTTGTTGAAGTATCCGCGGTTGTTCATGGTTGCTGTGAAATGATTTGGGTAGAGGTTTACTTGTGTATGTAGAGCATTTTGTTACTGATTTATTTGATTTCGAAGAGTGTGCAGCAAAATGATTTGCCTCCGGGCTTCTAAGTGTTCCTCCTACCTAACTGAATAGAAGTATAGAGGTAGAAGAACACGGGACACATGGGTCTATGGGAGAATGGATGAATTCACATCCAGATTGCTATTCACTAAGCTGTTTAGATAGAATAGAGCACCATTCCAATGATAGCTTAGACTGTTCCCGAGGCAGCAATCTTAATGGTACCATCAGTATTTCCAGAGCGATCTAAGCTCTTGCTCTCCATCTTCTGGATGATATCCTGACCAGAAACAACTTCTCCGAAAACAACGTGCTTTCCATCCAAGTGCGGGGTTTTCACAAACTAATTCAGTCAGAACACGACGTCTCCCATCTGGTTTCAGTATGGTTTCAACTTACAGTAATAAAGAACTGAGAACCATTGGTGTTCGGTCCAGCATTTGCCATAGAGAGAAGTCCACCCTTGGTATGCTTGGTCTGGAAGTTCTCATCCGCAAACTTCTCGCCATAGATAGACTTGCCGCCCGTGCCCTAAGAAGAGAGTTGAGATTAGCCGGAGCTCGGATTTCCCCGGGGAATACCACGACAGACATTTCCACGAGTAAAGTCACCACCCTGGGCCATGAATCCAGAAATCACGCGGTGGAAAGCAGAGCCAGCATAGCCGAAGCCCTTTTCACCAGTTGCAAGGGCGCGGAAGTTGGTCGCGGTCTTGGGGACGACGTCATCATAAAGTTTGAACACTATGCGACCCCAATTTTCCACTGCATGGTGTTAGTGTCACTGAAATGAGACGAGAAAGTAAACATACCCTGGCCGTTAGCCGATGTGTATTCGATATCAAAGTAGGGGTTAGACATGATGAATTGATTTCAGGTAAGATGAGAAGTACAAAGGAGACGGATGAGCTGGAAGGGGGCGGGGTATTAAATGAGGGGCTCGGATCTGGGGTCATGCAGGAATGAGGTCATATTAGGGCTGGATTGTACAAGTTGGACGTATCAAAGCATAGTTTGGCGCACGGGGATTGATGCCAGATTCATTGGTGCACTGTGGGGTCCAGATCCAACGGTCAACCCTGATTGTACAACTATAACTTCAATATCACTTTGACCAGTTCGGACATTTATTTACCACTCACAAGTTAGCAATATTCTTCTTACTGAAAGTAATACTAAAAAGGATTTTTTAAAGTTTATCTCATTGTATTGTGTCTCAGAAGAGACTCAAATCTCAGACCGTCGCAGGCATCTCCGCAAAGATGCTGCCGTCACATTAGGGAGACTAAGGGCCACATAGTGAAGTGCACCCAAGAACAGTGAACGAAAATTCAAAAACAAATTCAGAGAACGCAGTAAAAATCATCAGATATGGTGGCCATAATGGCCACCAAAATCCCGTTCCATCTACTCATCGTCGTTGGAGGCGGCAACCAGGTCACCATCCTCGTCAACTTCCTCGTCAACTTCCTCGTCAACTTCCTCGTCGACCTCCTCGTCGGAGTCACCAGCGGCAGCAGCCTGAACAATCTTCTCCAGCTTGATGTTGAGGCGGGACCACTGCTTTTGCACGGTTCCCACAGTCTTGCCGGCATCATTGGCGACGGCAGCCCAATCGATCTGTAAGACAACTCAGTCAGTAAATGAAATGCAATCATGTGAAGAGAATCTGAGGGACTTACCTTCACGCCGCTAGAGAGTTTGATGCACTTCCATAGGAAGAGAAGGTCTTTGCCGGCGGCAGCGGACGAGACATTGGCAGGTGAGGCCTTCACAGGGGTCCGCTTTACAATGCCTGCTTTGACCGGCTTGGTAGCCTTGGGGGTGGTTTGCTCTTTCACCATGTTGACAGCTAGTCAGCTTGAATTGTGGAGTATTGGGATGATTGGCAGAGAAAGAATTAGAAGAGAAGAATCAGAAGAGATGTTTGATGGGTTGAGGGAGGAAAAGAAAGACGAAGAAAGGAGGGAACTGTTTGCCCTTTATAGCGGGTGGTCCTGCGTTTCGTTGGGGGTCAAGTTGCCCTGACGATTTCGTTTGCCCCGACGCGCGCTGAGAAATGAGGACAATATTCAAAGGTTCCTTGTGTAAGTGAATCCATCATCTATATTCATACATAGATTCATACTTCGACCCACTCTCATGACAATGTCTTGGCGGTCAAAATCAATGCCAAGACCGACTATCACTACCCTTTTAGGTAATTATATTGCCTAAATAGGCTTAGTCTAGTCCCATGGGAGTTGGCCATGGGACTAGGCAAGATCTACTCCGTACGAAGAACTCACAGAGATCTTTAAAGCCCCTAATCCCCGAAAGAAGAGTACAGAATGAGAACAGGTCTTGGTTTCTGATACTGCGAATTAGGTGATTGACGGAGGGTGCATAGGCTATTCAGCCCAGTCTTTTCTAGTGTTTTTTCATTATCACAAATATTCTACCACGTTCATGTTATGGAAATGCTCAATATTTTGCGAACTAGGTCTGCTGACTGTATTTGTGTACATTTGACTTGGTGAACACCTGGGCATCTACCTAGGTACTAATCTGAAGTATAACTTCCGCCCAAACTAGATATTTGAAAACAGGGTATCCATCATTGTAATAGACAAAACACTTGTTCAATCAAGTGCCGGTGTGATATTTATAGTTTAAGTTGCTGCCTGCTTCTGCTCCTGCTTATTAATAGTTTCCAAAATTGGTCCCTTTGGCTCGTCTTTTCTGTTTTTGATCTCGTCGAGTACAGCAAATGAACCACCCGCTGGCAGACTTAGCTCCTCGATCGTTCCCTGCTTTCCGCTCATAACTTCCTCTGCGATTCGGGAAAAGTGCTTCTCGGTTTCTTCCGCAACATCGTACTCGATGATCCAGTCATCATGGGGGATAGACACACTGTCAGGCAATTTGGCGGCAAGCTCAGGTGTCCAGTCCGTGGAATGAGCGGCATCTCGATTACTGATTGAGGACATGTGAATCACATGCGATCGATTGAAACGAATACGCTCAAAGACCTGGAGGGCCAACGGCACATCGCCCTCGGCATTTTGTAGGCAGGACGCCTAGATTACTGGTTAGCTATCATGGACAACCAACAGTTGCAGAGGGAGGGAATTTTACCATGCAGAAAGCATCCTCAACAGCCTGGCAAGCACCCTGAGCTGAGGTGGGGAGATGGCAGTGGGCTGCATCGCCCATAACGGCAAGCTTATTGGACTTAGACAACCAGGTGGGAATCGGATCGCGCCACACAAGCTTGTAGTCGACGAGTCGGTCCTTGGGGGTGTTCAAAGCAATTTCTGTGAGGGTATTGGAAAAACGATAGAAAGAAACCCCAGACCATGCTAGAGCTGCCCCCCGAGCTGAGGGCCTGACTCATGGTAGAGGTCAGGGCCTCCCACGTCGTACTAGTACAGCAGCACATGAATAACAACGACCAGAGACTGAAGTTTCGCTTCATCTCCGGCGGAATCCCAGCGGTGTTCTCTAGCTCAACGTCATTTTCGATGTCGGCCGCATCATTTGCAAGAGAGGCCTTTGCGGCTTTCGCCGTAGTAGTAGTATCACGATGCATATAGGGTAAGGTTTACTCTGGGAGGATAAAATTCAGAAATTCACTAAGAGATAGTGGTAGAGGATGCGCTGGGAGGAAAGTTTGGGATGGTCATTGAACTGAAATTTTTAACGCAACTCAGGCAATTGTTATGTATGATACTCAGCAAGATAAATTCCCATGCTTCCTTGAACCTATCGCGGTTCAACTTTCCCTTTTGGAATTAAGATCTAACGCTATTCTCGATGTCTGGGGAGCCAAGTTTTATCGAAAAGATAATTCCAGGAGTTCCTAGTGTTTAATATCTGACCACTCATCTATTTTTCCGCAATCTCAAATGCGGCGGAACAGTTCTGGGCCTGGGGTACTGCTGCAGGCCAAGTATACAACGCATTTATGGAATTAGGTTATAGCTACAGCTATGGATAGGATACCTATAAGTCACTAGTTTTCTACACTATGTCACTTACATCACAGCTCTAGATCCACAAGGGGGAATAGCTATGGACACAACAACTTATCTGGTTGACTATGGCTTCTCTATGAAAGTACTACTAGTACTTTACTACTAGTACCTTACTACTAATTCTTTGCTGCCAGTACTTTGGTCTAGTAATTGTAGATGGTGATGATTTCAATTATAGTCCTATGTATTCCTCTAGAGACTCTGGGCGCTATGCGGTTCCCTCCTCCGCTATAGTCGAAGTTAAATGCTAAAACTGGCCTAGAAAATAATTGTTGATGGCCGTGGAATTAACCTACTACACCGTGTGTATAGCTGTGGGTAGGGCCCTAATCGATCTACCACTTTGATCACTAGGTTTTCCAGTATCCCCAGATTGCCCAGTATCTCAATAAGCTCCAATGAGAATAAACATATAACCAGAGTCATTCTAGTCTTTATAGATATAATCAATATTCCCTGTGCCTTATTTCCACGATAACAATGGTGTACATCCCGTGGACATCAATCTAGGTCTGCCAATACCCCATTCTGCTCAGGTCTAAAGAGCCAATATATCCAATTCATATCTGTGTCATTAAATGAGCCAGTGAGCATGAAATTCAACACTACTAGAGTACCTTGCTTAGGTACTATAGCGTGTCCAATGATAATAGCTTGGATACCTGCAACAGTAATGTACATATATGTATGTTGTACATGCAAATACCCTGCCGAGAAAAGGTGGGGCGATCATCTTGATAAGATAAGCACAGCCCCGATTTTCCAAGGTTGGAATTTATTTCTCCCCTTACATGAAAGGATTCTTTCATCCCATTCACCCAATTCACCCAATTCACTCCACTCATCTCGTTCATCATGGAGGAACATTTGCGTAACAGCCTTTCCAACCACCCACATGCCTTCCAGAGCTTGCATCACACTCATAGCAGCTCACCGTCACACCGGACCGACAGGATGGCTCCGCTTTCCATCAACGAGGGGACCACAACCGCCCTTGAGCACGAGCTCACCACCATGCAGCAACACCGCATTGGCAATTCCAGCGATGAAGAAGGCCAACCTCCGCCACGTTACACCCCTGAAAGCGATCCGTTCCAGCTTGCCTCAAAGCTGAAGACCGAGGATGAGATCCGGCAGATGAAAGCCAACACATCGCGGAAACGGGATTCCACCGCTGCAAGCAAAAGCCGGAAAGTGGGCTCCATAGTGAAAGACACTGCTCTTCTTGGAAAGCAGGCTTTTGTCACCAAGAAACTGCAGGGATTCTACGAGTCTCAAAATGAAAATATCGAGCGCATGCTGAAGCCCGTCGAGGAGCACCGACGTGCCGCCCGCGAATTGAGCGTCGACAACCGTCTCAAGTACCGGATCGCTGTTTACGGTAGTTTTGCTGCGAATGTCATTCTCTCAGTCATCCAGGTTTACGGTGCCGTGTCATCCGGATCACTTTCTCTGTTCACCACAATGGCCGACGCCGTCTTCGACCCCATGTCCAACCTGACCCTCCTGCTGTGTAACAAGGCAGTCAACCGCGTTGACCCACGCAAGTTCCCGGCTGGAAAGGCCCGCATTGAAACCGCAGGCAATATCTGCTTCTGCTTCCTTATGACCGCCGTCTCTTTCATCATTATTGCCTTCTCTATTCGCGAACTGGTATCGGGCTCCGAGGAAGAAACCCAGTCTTTCCACCTCCCCTCCGTCATCGCCGTCGCTGTCGCCTTCGCCACCAAATTTGCCCTCTTCCTGTACTGCTGGGCCCTGCGTAACCAGGTCTCGCAGATCCGCATTCTATGGGAGGATCACCGCAATGATCTGTTCATCAACGGGTTCGGTGTTCTGACCTCCGTCGGTGGCAGTAAGCTGCGTTGGTGGATCGATCCTATGGGTGCTATTATTCTGTCCGTGCTGGTCAGTGCGCTGTGGCTGCACTCCGCCTATGGCGAGTTCCAGTTGCTCGTCGGCGTTACTGCCGACACCAAGATGCAGCAGCTCATTACTTATATCTGTATGTTCATTCCCTTTCGGTTATTTTGGGCTCTTGATAAAAGCATTCACTAACATTCCTATCAGCCATGACCCACTCCCCTGCCATCACTGCCATTGATACCGTCCGCGCATACACATCTGGTCCTCGCCTGCTCGTCGAGGTGGATGTGGTCATGGATCCAGAGGAATCTCTGCGTGCCACCCACGACGTCGCCGAAGAGCTCCAGATTAAGCTCGAGTCGCTTCCCGATGTCGAGCGTGCCTATGTGCATGTTGACTATGAGACCACCCACAAGCCTGAGCATTCCCTGAAAAAGGAGCTCTAGAGATTTTGCTTGACTCAGCAACTTGGATTGGCTTTTTCATTTTGGGCAGCTTTAACTTAAAGTGCACCCACGGCTCTTTGTTCCGGTGTTTTTTTGGGGAGAGGAGAGCGTTATCGGTCCGTTTCTTGTTTGAATCCAATCCATGGATATTTTAGGCAATGGATAAATTCCATAGAAAATCACATAATAACTTGGCCTTATCTTCTAACGTTGGCTCTATCAAATTCATTCAGGCGTCCCATGTCACGTAGGTGCCTTCCCTTTTTGTAAAAATCGTCACCGACCCCAGTTTTCTCATTGCCTTAAGCCACAGGGAAGGCATAAATACCCCCCCCCCCCCCCCCCCCCCCCCCCCCNTTCTCTTCTTCCTCTTCTTCCTTCTTCAACGCTCCAGGTCCACATTGCACACCGTGGTTCCTGTTGTCCAGTGATGAGTATCCTGAGGACACTGATTAGGTCTTTGCTGCGGTGCAGGTTAGTCTGACAATGGATAGGAGCTTCGGCTCTGGTCCAATGGCACGAAGCATGTCGCGGCCCGGACTAGTTCCCCCTGCGACCTCTGTGGATAACAGACTGTACTTTCCTGGGGTCTCCATTGATCGTCAGGAGCTTAACACCAACCAGCTAACCAGCCCCCCCCC